TTAAATAAAAATATATCGTTCTAAATTCATCCACTAATATTTGTTTTCATTAAATTCTTTTAAACATTTTTATACTCTTTAGAATTTATGTTCAACTAAAATCATAAATCCTAATAATCATAAAATATCAACTTCAACTAAAATCATAAATCCTAATAATCATAAAATATCATCTTCAACTGAAATCAAAACAACAATGTAAAGATTACCATTAGAGAAAATATATGAAGAAATAGCAATACACAAAGAAAAATTTGAAAAGGTAAGGATTATGTTTTTAATGCTGAAGATGGGAGTCTTGCTCCCACCATTAATAGCTTTTAGCTCTACATTCCTTTTCAGTTACTTTACATTAAAGTTTGGATGAATATAGTGATTTTTTTTTTTATAATTTTGAAATTGTTTTCGGGATGCATTTAAAGTGGGATGAATATATAAAATTTGTGTATTTTTTTTTAAAATATTATGAACATGGTTAGGTCCACTATTAGCAGCAATTTTAGTCCTGTCATTTTAATTAGTAGGTTTAACTAAATTCTCATCATAATTAGATGAGCCAGTCAGTAGTCTTTCTCCTTCAAGGATGTGGATTGCCAAAATTTATCATTAAGCTTTAACCAACCATTTTAGAGGATGTGGATAAACGAATTAAGCCTCTATCCAACAACCAACTTATAAAGAGTTTATATACTTAAAATCGAACAATAGTTTCAATCATGCATTCATAGATACCGTTCATTATTTTTCATACAATTTGTGGAACCATACTATTCCCATTTATAAAAAAGGTTGAACTCCAACCTTGAGGGCCCTCCACCACCCCGCCCCTAGAGCATTGTGGAGGAGGTAAATCGGGGGATGTTTCTCAACAGATCAGGGTACAAGAGCTTCCATACTGGTATACTATTCTCATTTATAAATTTGCCAAATGGAGGCTAAATTGGAGATTTGAAAGGTGTTATAGGTAAAGAATAATACTATCTCGTTTGAATATTTAAGTTATGTCGTCTTAAATATATAAAATATCATTTTATGTCACTCAAATAAATCCGCCATCTAAACATAGAACATTGTAAATGAGTATTTGAGTTGTCATTCAGTTTTTTTTTTTTTTTTTGACAAAGTGGTTCCCATTCTTCAATTTTTTTCGTTGAAGTTTGTCAGTAAAAAGTCAACCAATTAAGAATAACGTTATTCATAATAGAACTTATTCATAAGCAGCTATGGCGATTTTAAATGATTTATCATCTTAATTGTCAATCTTAAATGTAGAATTTAAGATAACAAATTAATTGATGGGAGTCCCTAATCTATCCTTATTAAAATTTTAACATTTCACATTAATTTCAACATTGTCCTTATTAAATGTATTCATTTAAACACTATTCACGGGAAGTTTATATATGTATTTCACTCTAAATCTATTCTTATTACAATTTTAAAATTTTAATAAAGATGTATAGTTTTCATGTGAAATAATGTGGGATTTTCGGAGTTCTAAACTTCTAGTTGATGATATTAGTAGTCTGAATTGGCATTGGGTGGTATTGTTTTGCTTGATAATATTAGTAGTGTGAAGTGACATGGGGGAAATTTGACATTCTGCAATGAATGGTCACTTGTGTGAGGAAATTTGATGGGGAGGGGGAGGTGGAGGGAGGAGGCACCACCTCGTCCTCACTTATAATTACGATTCTCACAATTGTACATGAAAATGTACAGGGGATTTTACAGGTGTTGAGATGGCAGCACCTGTATGACAGTGTTTTTTTTTTTTTTCAACACCCAATGAAAATCTACCAAGTTGAATTATGTACATTTTCCTATAAAACTCCCTTGTACATACAGCATTTTCGTTTGTGCGCTTACCCTTCATTGGTTATTCCAGTACCCATGGGGATGTAAATATGAAAGAAGGTATCTGGGTTTGATCCTTCAATGGTACTTTTCAAAACTTGGTCAGGAACCACTTTCTTGGCAACAAGAATGACTTAACTATGACAACTTAAAAATTTCCGTGACCATCTATGCATAAAAAAAAAATTTGAGGATTTAAATAGGACAATTCAAAAGTTTAATCCTCACTAAGAAGAGACTTCGTTCACATTGCCTACACTCATTGTGAGCCCCCAAAATAGGGATGACAATGAGTAAGGTCGAGACCCCTGCCCTGCCGCCCCAAATTATTTCCCGTCCATAACCGCCCCGTTACCGGTTTAAGGCGCGGAGGGGGCGCGGCTACTCGTTTAATTTATTTATTTTAAATTT